TTTGCGCATGCCCCCTTGGGCTTGGGGAAGTTTTGCCCGCTGATGATCTTGACGTGCAGGACTTGCGGAGAGACGCCGGGGACGATGCCCTTTGTGTTGGCGCTGAAGTAGGAGACCTCTTCGCGCATCACGGAGGGCCTGAGCACGTACCCGCACCCGCCGTTCTGCAGAAACCAGCCGGTGTGCAGGTCCATCATGGGCCCGGGCGTCTGATAGTTCATGGCCACTATCTGGCAACCGCAGTTCCAAAAATCTTGAGGGTTCAAGTTACTGGAGTCTATTCTCATAGCACTTGGGTACACCCTGGACAAAAATTTTTTATTGTAGTTGACAAAGTCTTCAGGGTATTCGTTTGCAAGCCGGTTGGCTTCTGCCTCACTGAAGGAACAGATTTCCCAGTAATTCTGGCTTTTCATAGATGTCTCAAAGTCTTTGTACTGAACGGATTTGCATACGGACACCAAGTCGGACAACTCTCTGCAGAGCCAGATGAGCTTTGGCTCCCTCGACAAGTCCTCTGACAGTCTCCGGGAGATTTCAGCCTCTTCATCTTCATCTGTGACTTCTCCTTCTAATATATCCTGATCACAGGGCAGCTTTTTCCCCTTCACGATGATCTTCATTTTCAGTTTCTCGGGCGACGGCAGGTAGGCGTCCGAGGGCAGAGGTGCTTCTGTGTAGAGCTGGCTTCCAAAGACCCTCTTCATGTGCTGAACCATCACTTTCTGCTGCGGTAGCGAGCAGTGGTTCCCCAGGCAGAGGATGAGGGGGTACTCTGAGGCAAAGAAGGCCAGTTTGTTTATCACCTCGATCACGTTGCGGAAGGCGAGCGGCGCCGTCATGTTGCTGCGGTTGCAAACGACGGGCTCGTTATCGGGGCCGTCGCAGACATCCAGCTCGATGCTGCGGCAGTTCATCTTCAGAGCTCTGACGTAGCCGTTGATGTCGGCCGGTCCTCTGAGCTGGTCCTCTATCAGGTACGTGTTGTGGGACGCGTTGATGTAGTAATGAGACAAAGGCTGCGACATGTCTTGGACAACTCTTTTGTGTTCCGGGTCGAAAATATCACATTCTGGGGACAACAAATACTGAGTAAAGCCATCAATTGCAAGAAATCCTTTTAACCGCCCTTCTTGAGAAAGTTCATACCTGCGTATAATATCTAGACACATTTCTTCTGTTATATGAGTCACTCCCTGCTCAGCCTCTAAAAACAGCATGAGGTCATTGGCGTCTAGATACTCTTTGTTTTTAGATATCTGCACAAGTAAGAAATAGACTTCAGGTCTGGTGCAAAGTTCACTGAATGCTTCACAAAATTCCTCTTTCGTTACTCGCGTTGTCAGTTTTTCTTTGCTCTTCTGAATCTCCTTAAATTTTAATCTAATCTTTGCTTCCTTTAGGGTGGGGTTGAGCTTTTTTATTAGTTCCACAGATGTATCTTCTAACATGATGCCATTGCCGTCAACATCTGCTGCTTCAAATACAGTTTTTAGCCATGCAAACCGCGGGGTGTTATGGCTGCCTTCTATCAAATCCAGAGCTTGTTTACTACGAGAAACCAAGTACCTTAATCCCGAAACCCAAATGTTGGCCACATCGGCTGAATGAGCAACCAAGTCAAGGGACTCGTAGTTCTCACCGTGGATCACCGAGAGCGCGCAGTCCTCCGAAATCTGGTCCGCAAGCCCGTTATTCCTGAAGGTTTCTGTGTTCTTCCCCAGCCTGATTTCTTTTATAGCAGAAATATCAAGCTTAGCTTTGTCAAGGTCCTTCTTGGAAGGCTCCCAGCGAAGAGCCTGCAGGTCAGGATCCAGAGTAAAAAAACGGTTATAAATCCGGGAATTTGGACGAACTTTCTTCAGTTCGCAGCCAGCCTGCATGAAGCTGATACAGTCACTAGCGCTGCTTATTTTCTTCTCTGATGGCATGCTGCTAAAGGACACTGTTTTCTTTCTTCCACATTTTTGGTTTGCAGGATCCTGTGGAATAAATACATGGAAAAAAAAAAAGAGGGAAAAGAACTAGTAAGTTTTCTTTGGCCTTTCCAGTACATAAATAATGGAGGGGATATGTTTGTGTCAAACAATTCATGTTTTTCTGAACCACAAAATGCAACATATTGCCCTTTTCCACAACTCGGTTCCCTACTGAGCCATAAAACACAACCATCAATAAGCCAGCCGGGAAGCCCTGGGCCCCCATCTTTGGGCCTTGCTTTCTACCTGCTCTGAAGAAAACGCCGAGGCAGCCACACGCGACTCCTCAGCCGCTCGCAGCTGCGGAGAAACCCAGGTGCCTCGGCTTCTGCCAATAAATTACAACCCTCTGAGCTCCTTGCACTAAAAGATTTCTCATTCAACTGACACAGCAACTTCTGCTGACAGGAGGAATTACTTCAGCCATTTATCAGAGGTCTTATTGTGGGAATTAAAGCTAAAGGAAAGGGAGAAAGTCAATGAAGCCAGCGGCTTGGATCAGCTAATTTTTTAATTACAATTTTCTACTAAAATGTCCTGTTCCTGCATTACCATACTGCTTTTTAATACAGCCGTGGCCATGAAAATCTTCAGGCAATGGCTACTAATGAATATAAACGAGTGCAGCCAATACCCCACGGCTTCCAACAGAGCCTTTTCTTTCTTGTTTCTTTAGCTTTAACACAGCAATATTTAAAGCACCATGTTTGCATTTTGATAGCAATTTCCACTTTAAACACCACACTTGGACTCTTGCAGAACACCTGAAGTTCCAAAAAACAACCAGAAACCCTGGATTCCCCCCAGCGACAGCTAGAGCATCCCGAGCCTTTGGTGCTACGGCAGTACTGTAATAATAGAGAGTCTGTCTCAAGAGCTCCTGACTGAATCAAGAGATTATACAAAAAGGTAGGTTTTCACTTAAAATAGAGAGGCAATATTTGCTGTGTGACTCACTAATTTGCTTCTGCAGAAAGAAACAAAAGGCATTTATTTTCAGTTCAGAGATGACTGCACTTTTTGATGAAAACGAACCATGGAACCCAGCAGCTGTTTTTCTAATATCCAGGTGATAAGGACAACTGGCCTTGTGGGGAATTGCCAGAAGTTTAATATTCACTCTCAACCTCTCAGGGATTCGGAGGAAACCGGATTATCCTCTGCATTCTCTTTCTCCACTTTTATCTTTGATGGGGACTTCTGTTTTGTACTCAGTGACAGATAAGGAACAGCACCATTTTACAACTGTAATTCATCTCTTGGTAGAAGTTTCCCAAATATTTTTAATCACTTGATTAAATTTCAAGTTTAATCCACAAAACTAATTGCCTAAAATGAGCAAGACTTCAGTGCTACTGATAAGATTATTTTGCAGCAACAAAAAACCCTATTCAATCTGCTCCGTCACATACAGAAACGCTGCAGATTGCAATGACTAACTGATCTTATTTCTGGATTAGGCGCTTCCATCACAGGTTCTTTAGCACAGGAACATTTTATTACACAAGTATATAATAATTATATTGGTATATAATTATATAATGTAAATAGATAATTATACAATATAGTAATTATATAACATTATAATCAACAGGAGCCCTTACAGAGCTGCAGGGCTCTTCAAAAGGAGATGAAATTCTCTATCGATGCCCAGAGCTGAACTTGCTAAGTCCAATTAAGGTCCATTTCCCCAAAAAACAATTTACATTTACATTGTTGAGTATCAGTGTTAGCAGAAGAGAAGCCTTGCTCTGAACTTCACCATTTCTTGTGAACTTAACACTGAAAAATCATTCACAAGCAGCTTAATCCGTCCTCACAAATGGGCTGCAATAAGCACTGCATCTGAAAAAGTATCTGTGCCACGAGCACCAGATCAGTCTTAACTGCCCAAGTGATTACAGATTTTTTTCCAGGGAAATCTAATTAGCTCCACAGGTTTTACCACAAAGGAGGGCTGGAGTATAAGGACACATATCCTAATCTTTTGGGACACTTCAGGGATGTACAGAATCTCAGACCCTGAAATTCCTTAAGGTTTACTATCTGGTTTACAATAAAAGGTGACACTAATGGCGCTCAAAACACATGCCAACACGTCGATAAATGATGAAGGAATTTTTCCACAAGTAGGCAGATTCAACGGGGAGGCTTCTAGAAGCCCCCAAGGGACTGCAGAGGGCCGGGTTCAGGCCAGGCGGCAGCCCCATCTCACGCACCCGCGAGGGCTGGTCCGTCTCATCACTGACCTAACCAAGAGCTTCACCCTGCACCCTTGCCATCAGTTGTTATAACTTGTTATCAGTTGCCTTGTTATCAGCTTCTCAGCAGGTTTCTGAGGGAAGAGGAAAACACAGCCCCAGCGAAGACAAAAACGGAGCGTTCCCGAGACGCCGAGCAGCTCCCCCTGGAACTGCTCACCTGGAGGCAGGATTGCAACGGCCTGTGGTACCTTCCCCTCTGCCACCAAAAAGGCTTTTTCAAGTATGGGAGCGGAGGCTGGAGGAAGCTGATTTAAAGAGAGGAAGAGGAGTCGGGGATCCTTAAGAAATACAGATGAAACAAAATGATTTCCTGCTCAAGAACTGCCTTACCAAAAAAAAAAAAATCACTAGCCTTGCCAAACATACTCAATTTTACCTTGGAGAAAATTTGCCCTTGCTGATAAATGAGAGCAAAAGGAAAAAGCAGCAGCGTATAAAGCTTCCACCTGGAAACACTTCCCTGAGCAAAGCCTGTGCAATGCAAGAGCAGTCCACGTTCCGGTGTGCGATGCTGAAGTTGCTCTTTCAGCTAGAATCCTGTATGATATTCCCACATATACATGCACAAGGTGCCCCTGTATGAGCCTACGGAAACTCTATCCGATTAAGAAGGTTTTTCACAGCTCCTCACTGCTCCCCTCGCACCCCAGCTGCTCCGGGGCTGTCCCAGGAGCCTCGGACACCTCCCCGAGGCGGAGGAGACCGAAATTCCCAGCAATTCCCCAGCCGCGTCACAGCAAAAGGTGTGCAGAGTCCGCCTGGTTAACGCTCCTCCACAGCATAAGTACCCGGCTTAGGTATCATATTCCATCAATCCACTGTATTTATTTATTATTTTTACATTTAAATAGTATTTTTCTTTTAAAAATACATAATTAAATGAAAACCCTCCGCCAAACATAACTAGGTGGTCTGGTATTACAGCGCTGCAGATTGCAAGGCATGGGGCCCCGAAAGAGGATGACCAGTTTAATTGCATTCTGAATCTTACAATGACCCTCCTGGAATAAATGTGTAATCCAATAAGCCAGCCAAATCTCCAAGGTTTAATCATGTTATTTTAAGCCCTTTTTCATCAACTTAAATTATGCTTTCATTAATCACATTTTATGCCCATGGAGCTCATCCCCCAATCCTGAAATTTAGCAGCGAGGTTCCACAAATCAATAGAACAAGATAATCAAACTATTATAATGGAAATATTTTTCTAATTCGGATGCCATTCATCAACAAATTATGCCATAAGCCATAAGTCTTAGAAAGAAAAAAAAAATTATTTTGTTTATTTTTAAACACATTGCCCCTCTCTGGACGCAGCAACCCTCGGACAGGCATATCCGGAATGAACGCCCGTACCGGCGCCAGCTGCACTGCCCCCAAGTCAGGGAACATGCAGCTTCCTTGGGGGAGAAAAAAGGCCACTTTTGAGCCCAATTTTCCAGATAATAAAATGTTTTTTTCTAGTTGGTAGCCATAGGAAAAGCCAGCGTCTATAAATGTGCCATTTTGCTCTATTTTGTCTATGTCATTATTTTAATGGAAAACTTAAAACAATAATCAGCTAACAGTAATTTTCGGAAAACCCTGGCATTCCTTAGCTCCAGAGGCCAGCTTTCAGTGTCGGAACTGCATGGAATTTCCCGCGTAAACGCGAACGCGCAGCTTTATCCATTTAGAGGCGCATAAGGGTTTCGTGGGTTCAATTATAATGATGAAGACTTTGGTAATGCATTTAAAAGAGCAGCGGTCTAACCAGGGATGCAGCAGGAAACCTCATTTTTCACCCCCCAGAGGCTTTGTCTGTTTTAACTAAGCTCCTGTCTCCGACGCCGAACGTGCCAACTCTTTTACCCGAGCTCCGTTATGCAGGACCACAAGGGCTCTGCTTCTTGTGCACGCTATTTTGCAGCAGGCTTCCTGCAACTTCTATCCTTTCTTCTCAAAGCCAACCCAAAGCAAACCCCCAAGGCTGGCGAGGCGAGTCTGGCAGCGTGTCGGTACACGCGAGACGGAGCCCACACGCCGCAGCCCGGCAAACCACTAACAGGGAATGTAAATGCCCTATTGCCATTACGGGCCTGGATCAGCAGAAATCCTGGGAGTTCAGACAAGACAACTGCTCTCTCCTTACCTGAATGGTAACGAAGGCAGAACCTAGCCCACAGGGCAACATTTGAGGCTCACAAAAGTTATGCTGTATTGCCTGGTTACACCTTTTTAAAATATAGTTAAGAAAGTCAGGGAAATAGTGCTAAACACTACAGTAGAACCAGGTAATTTACAGCTAGACAAAAGAAATACTAGAAATAGCACAGGCAGTAAACTCCGTGGCTCATTACCTTGAGTGTTGATTTTTCCTCTGCTGTTTTCTAATTTTGAATTAGTATTGAAGTTTATAGAAAATATTTTCCTTATTACCTCTTGCCTATACACGAACAAAATGAATTAAAGCCTTTTTCTGGCAATGTGCTCACAGCTGGGATCATATTGACTGAGAGAAGGAAAAAAAATCAAATCTTTGCAGACATTTAAGAGACAAATAGTTTTTAAATGCGTATTTTGGAAAAGAATACATTTCTAACTTTTTTTCCAAGGCCAAATAAATCATCAGGCAGGGCGTTTTCAGCCAGCAGGTGAATCAAGGCACGTGAGCTGCTCTGAAATTGCCAGGGAGCCTCTATTGACCAAACTACGCTGTTTTATTCCAGCAGATTGACATGGCGTTATAGTCCTAATGCAAACAAAGACTTTATGCAGCATCAACCCCCTACAAAAAGGGCAAGGGCAGGTGCCCTTGAGATACCTGCAAAACACCCCCCGAGGCAGCCGCCGCAGCTCCAGCACTAACGTTCAGGTACGTGGGCATCAACCCCATGGTTCCGTACGAACGCCCAAGCACGCAAAGCTTCCCCAGCACCCGCGGAGCCAGGGGGATGTCTGAACACAGATTTACTGTACGCATTCCAGGACACTTAGGAGCTACTTCCAGCATTTGGCTGAATTCTGGGCGACTTGCACAAGCAGCGCAAGGCAGTAAAAATGCGTCAAACCACCAAGCCTCTGTAGTTCCACCAAGGTGTTTCGTAGCGAGCGCAGACCACTTGAGGCATCTGCAGAAAAATTACAAGTTTCAACAAGGATCATATGCAGAATGTGCATTTGCAGCAGCTTTCTGCAGGACAGGCCCAACGCAAAACGTAACATCAGCTTCCCCAGCTGCCCACGTGCGCTGGCTCGCCAGGAAAATGATATCCCGACCATATCGTATCCAGAATTTCCACAGGCAGGAAGCATCTCACTGTCCACAAAAAGCCTATGTTTATGCAACGGTGAAGAATGGGACTAAACTCCGTGGAAAATCTGCTCTTTCGTTTTCCTATTTAAGCCTGCATGCTGTTTCCTAACCAAAGGGACAGACAATGTTTGGCAAACAGATATACTTTAAATACACATCCTGGATATGTTTACACTCCATTTCTGAATGATACAAGGAATAGAGAATAAAGTCCAAGGAATCGCGGGTCCAAGGAACAGAGCTAAGTCCAAAGCTGAAGTTCGCCCGCTTAGCCGGGATCAGGGCTGGCCCTTCTCAGCCCATCCTCGTGCTACGTTTTCTATCTAAGCGCACCTCTGGCTCCCACTTGCACTCCTATCAGATCCGGGACTACCTGGATGCACTCTACCATCGCCAGAGTGAGGGAATATAAAAGAGAAGAGCTACTAATTAGCAACACAGCATGTCTGACGGATGTCTTATTGCCCCAAATAGCTCTATCGCTCATCAGCCCAAAGCCGGCCCCTTGGCCAGAGCGAAGCCTTGAGCTCCTTTGCTTTGAAGTTCTAAGCTGGCCTCTGGCTAGTGCCGAGGTCTGTGGCCAAAGGGCTTTTGGCACCTTGCTCATTGGAGGTTTTCCCCTTCCACAAAACGGTTCTTGAAGGCGGACACTTGCCCTCTCCTGGGACCACGGTTAGTCTTCGGCAGACGGCACGGAGACGCGCGCTATTAGAGCTGATGCGAGGAGGGTGTGAGCTGGGGCTCGCCCGCCGCCTGGATGAGGCCCTGCTGCTCGGGCTGGCAACAGCCACAGTCCAATTTCCCGCTGTTTGCTTCAGCGGTCTCGGGGCCGCGTCTACCACCGTCCCTCATTTGCTGAGAGGAAGGAAAATAAAAGGCCAGAGAATTCACATGGCTGAGCAGCAGCTCCGGGGCTGCTGCCCGTGCAGGACGCGGCAGCTCCGCAGAGCTCAACACATCACGTAGGGCACGTGGCAATCCACTCTCCACAGGAAATGCTCTGCCTGCCCGACCGCATCTGGCTGTTGAACAGACCACCTAGGGAGAAAGAGAACCAGAATCAAGGGGAAAAAACAGCGCAGCCGCCTCAGCTTCACCTCCGGAGCTGGCGCAAGCGTGGGCACGTCCAGGGCAAGCAGCTGCCACAGGCAAAGCAGCCTGTGACCAGCCGTCCTTGGCCGGGCCCAGCCC